TAAAAATTTCATTTTTATGTCACATATGAAATGGATGCTTTTTATTTTTTCCAAAATAAACAAAAATACTTAAAATGCAACAGGAACTACACTTTGATAGAACAGTTTGACCAAGTACAGGGAAAACTTTTTCACAAAATTCCCATGTTTTAGAGACATCATTTAGAAAAACAATTTCAAGTTTTATTAATTAAGATTTATTAATAACAATAAAGGAATTAGTGCTTGTCAACATGACAGCAAACTGAGCATAGCACCGAGTATCTTGTCCAACGCACACAAAACTAGAGGAGACTTCAAAAGATACAGTTTTTCATCTTAAATTAATCCTGGTACCCTGCAAGATCACAGCTCCAGTCAGAAGCTAATGTATCCTTCCAGATGCTTTTGCACAAGAACAGATTAAGCTCTTAAGATACAGAGATTCAATCCTGTACACACACAGTAACGTCAGTAGCTTTAGACCTTGGAAAGTTGGGTGAGCACCTCTGGGCAGAGACAGTAAAAGAGCTGATTCCAACAACCCAGCAATTTGTCTCTCCATTCCCCTCCATCCCTACTGCCAGTTTATATTAACAAACCACTGTCTCCAGCACAAAAAATAGCCTATGAAACTCTGGACTGAAAATTACAAGCATCTGTCAGAAGCAGCCCAGCATATTTGGCGGCTGAGGGTGACTCTAGAATGTACTGAGCTGTAAACTCCTTTGAAAAAAGCTGATGGACACTCAGTTATGAAAACAGACTGAAGCTTTAGAGCTTCCCATGGGGAGTTAGGTAAGGGGAATGAGAAGATTAATCTGTTTTTCCAAGATAAAAATATGTATCACCTGAAAAAGCTCAGTAGTATACAAAAAAAGTAATAATAAAACCCAGCACACGTATCCTCATCTTTCACAGGCAACAGGTCATGCCAATTACTTTCCAATATTTTCACAGTGCATCTGGTAGTCCAGCTGATGTGGTGGACCTTTATTTTAACACTGGAAACATAATACAGAGCTGGTATTATATGATGCAAGTCCTTCGGTTAAATTTGGTTATTGTTGTATTTGCTATTGAACCTTACTGTCAGTAGAAGGCAGTCCCACCAGGGGAGCCCTGAACCATATGCCAGTGCTTTTCACTCCTGTCTAATTCTGCGTACAATCTTGTTTTCTCTGCTCAGAAAATGACCTACATATGTACTAAAAAGATGCTACCAGGAACACTACATATGTCACATTCAAATACAGCCTTTAAAATAAAAACAAAACCTACAGACACTTTAAGCACAAAGCAAGCACTGAGCAGGAGGCTCACATTGTGAAGACATACCAAAGACAGGGGTCAAGGAGAAGATAAGGCACCTAACCAGGCAGGTCCCTTTTGCACTGCAGACCCAGTAACATGCACATACTGTAGTCCTAAGTAACTATGCTTGGGTAGCATGTCCATTGAGCAATGCCTAAACCATACACTGAGCAAGAAAACAAAACACTGAAAAGCTGATCATTAATTGAGCACCATTTATTCTGCATGCCAAACAAGACAGGAGAATCTAATCATCCAGCTAATGACTGTTCATGTCTTTCAGTTCTGGCCTGACCTCAGGCCAAAAGGTCTCAGACCGAAGATGAGCCAAGTGAAGGACGCGGCTTTCCTGTCAAGCACACAAACTACAGCAGCCAACACAGGGCAAAACTATGCTGACCCTCAATCCTGTACCAAGTGTGGTTGGGCACCCTGCAGCAACAGGCTGAGGCCTTCAGCATTATCAGATGCAGAAGGTCCAATGACATTTTTTTCCTAGCTAAGCTCATACAAAGTGCTACCGAGCACATGCAATTCAATTTCTCATATGTCTGAATTTTGCTCACGTGTGCTGCAATGAATATCTGTCCAAATGCTGCGTTCCTGACATCTGGCTCAGACAAAAAGAGTCAGGGACACCCTCAGGAAGGGGCAGGTGGGAGGGAATAATGGCTATAACCTTGCCCTTAAGCCATTTAGCCTGGAATTGTCATGAATTCAGAAATTCAGACCTGAAAAGATCTAAGGATATTCTAAGCACATGCTGAACACGTTTTCCCTTGTTATGCATTGCCTATATTTTGTATTTACACGAGGGAAGGTGGGAGAGAAGGGGAACATATCTGTTTCCACCATAAAAATATATTCAGCATTTGCAATAAAAGAGGATTTGGGGTTGTCCTTGAGAGAAGGTCTTTATTTTCCAGAAACATCTCTTTCTATAATTATTGAAAAGGACAGTCTTTCATCTCAAAACATCTCTACAGAAAACTGTAAGAAATGGACAAGACAGACAAATGAGAGATGTTCCTCATTTCAGCATATATCCTGTGGTTTTCATCCTTGAAAATTTAACTGTAGGCCTTTATAAATCACAGACACAAGAAAAATGGCCCTTTTCTGAAATGGACAAAATCAACACAGATCCACCCTGTACCAGCAAGGGCAGAGGGAAGTCCCATAGGTAACCACCACACCTGCTTTTACAGCACCACAGTACTGCCCATAACAGAGTAATTCATTTATTAAATAAATGCAAGCAAACACATATTTCTGGAGCGGATCTCTTGATAGGCAATTTGCAGAGAGCTACAGGAAAGAGACCTCAAAAATGTATAAAATTATACACAGTCAAGAAGTTTTTACTGGCTTTTCAGGTAGGAAAGCATTCATAACACCACACCACTGCATCCTCACATTTTAGCAGTTCACACTATCACTTAAATGTCATGTTACTAAGCAGACTTCTTTACATCAACATTAGGAAGTTCTGGGTCACTGTGGGCAGTAAAATGACAGCCAGAAGCCTCCAAGATATGAAAGAAAAAGTTCCAATTTCTAATGCCTTCATGAAATTATCCAGGCTCCCTCTAGTGGGGAATTCAATGTAGAGATTGTTGCAGTTTGCTATATGAGAACAGCTTTGAACCACTATGGGTTTTTTCTTCTGTAAAATAAACTGTGTTAGCATTGAACTCTGCAATTCCTAGATTCTCTTGTGATGGTTCACTTCAGCAATTCGAGGCAAAGCTCTGTTTCTGGTCATATGTTCCATCCCATAAAGAAGAGCAATCTTTGATTAAAAAAAAAGGAGAAAACATCACAAAGGCACACGGTGTCTCTGTGCTCCAAAGTCCTCAGAAAATATCTCAGTTCTTCAGCTCTCCAAAGCCCCAACAGAACCACCACCTCTGTCCCTGATGTGGACAGAGGCCAAAGAAAGACTGCTCTCCCCAGATCACACAAGAGATCTACAGCTGCACAAAAGAACAACCTCTATCTCCCAATTTCCATTTCTGTGATTTATATATTAACTATATGAAGCCCCAAGACTCGTATCTCTCCAACAATACCAGTGTCATTTATTTGCACCACTGTAAAACAATTCCAACATGCCTGTGTATGTCTCTACAAGACACACATACAGGGGAGTCAAGAAAATCATCCATCCCTTTCCTTTCTCTGCCCCCCCTTGAAGTTGTCAATGTAACCAGTTATTGTCAAAGAACATGAGAAGCTTTACAAACACAAAAAGATGTCAAATTTGATATTTTTACTATCTACCACTAAATATATGCACTACATATTGCCATCAAAATTCCTGTTATGCCACTTCATAGTGAAATTCAGTATTCTTGTCTACTGAACTTTATAACAAATGTTATCAATATTCTGCAGTCTGAAGTCTTGATTAAACAGAAATAATACAGAGGTAGCACTTAAAAAATGAGAAAACTCACCCAACTTGGGATAGGTAAACTACAACCTGAAGATGTCCCCTACTGTACAGGAAAACCAGCATGAGCCCTTTCGCAGCCGGAGTCAATTTATTTCTGACAGCCCTCATTATGACTCACTAACTTTTTTCCTTAATAAAACCATGAATCGCATCACAGCAAGTCTGTCTATAACAAGCCGGAGGATTCAAATATTTATTCAATGGCTAAGAAACAGAACTTTGCTAACTAGAGGGGAAAAAAGTCTTAATTCTCGGTTTGTCCTCATGCTTTTACATAGAAAGGGTTGCAAGATCACAATGAGATTCACTTCTCTCTTCCTTCCCTTTTTTTTAATACCTGCTATAGTCCCAGGATTATGATTAACCTCATACAGCCCATCTTTGATGATGAGTATAATTCAGATTACTGCCTGACAGGATGGCAGCTGAAGCTGAAGCGCAACCAAAATTTGGAGGATATTTAGGACATAGCTGGCACAGAAACCAATCTCATGTGTTAGAGGAAACAGCCATCACTCCAAGTTCTTTGGAACAACTATAAAGTTTTACCCGAACCTACTGCTTTTGCAAGTTATGCAATGCATATAGGAAGGCAATCAAAGAGCAGCAATTCACGTTCAGGATGCCATTAATGAAATCCAAAGCCTTCCAAAGCAAGCGTCATCTCATTTAGACCAGAGAGATTACTACCTCATTTTGCCCCAGAAGCATTCCTTTAGCGCCCAAGTGCCCAAGCAAAGCTGACCAGGGAACCCGAAGGGAGGTCTTTACAGTTCGGAAAGATAGGCGTGATCTCCTCGTCGCCCCTAACTTCCCAGAACCCCCTCAAATGCAAAGCCTGCGGTGTGCGCTGTTGACACTGACAGACCACCAGAAAGATGAAATTGCAGAAAGGATGAGAGACCATTCTCCTCGTACAGAAATGGGACAACTCTCCCACAAGAGGGTCAGGACTACACCACCTGTAAGTAAAATCGAGTAGGGCAAGCACACACACACCGCCCTCTTGCACACCTCGCCGCGATCGCCACCGGACCCCGCTCCGGACCTGGCTCAGCCAAGCGCTCCCCTCGCCAGCCCCCTCGCCCCGCACACCCCAAGGGCCACTTCGCCTTCTGCCCGAGGGCTGCCCCACAGCAAGAGCGGATTTCTGCCTCGGTTAAACCTATCCCGGGGGAGCTCTGCCTCCGGCGGGGCAGGAGCCGGGTCCCCCCGGGGAGGGAGCCCGGCGGGGCGGCGCGGCACTCACCGATGCCCAGCCCCACCACCACGCGTCCCGCCAGCAGCGTCTCCTTGTCGCGGGCGGCAGCCAGCACGCCGGCCCCCGCCGTGAAGAGGCCGCTGGCCAGCAGGATGCAGGGCCGGCGGCCGCACAGCCCGTTCAGAACGCCGCCGGCCAGGGCGGACAGGGCGGCGGCGCCCACCGTGCCGGAGACGAGCAGCTCCTGCCACAGCGCGTCCAGGTTGAGCTCCCTCTTGAGGAGGAGCAGCGCCCCCGACACCACGCCGGTGTCGTAGCCGAAGAGGAAGCCCCCCAGGGCGGAGAAGACCGACACCACGTAGACGAAGCCGGGGGTCTCGTCCTGCTGGAACTGCCGCCGCGCCGCCCGCTCCAGCTCGCCGCCCGACGCCGCGCTGTTGAGGCTGGAGCAGGACTCGGCGGCGATGAGGCTCCGCTCGCCCGCCGCCGCCGCCGCGCCCGAGCCGGCGGACCCGTCCGCCTGCCGCCGCCGCTTCTCGCCCATCAGGTTGCTCAGGCTCCGCAGCGTGTACTCCACATTGTCGCTGGCCTTGCGGGACATGGGACGGCCGCGGCGGCTCCCGCCCCGGCCGGGGGAGGGCAGGGGGCTGAGGCGGGCGGCTGCCGGGCTGCTCTGACCACGGCGGCGGGGCTGCCGCTGCTGCCGGCGCTGCCTGTCCTCGGCGCGCCCGCCCCTCTCGGGCCGCGCTCAGACGGGTCGCATCATCCCCCCGCCGCCGGGCGGACTTGAGGGGAAGTTGCCGCCGCTCCCAGCGCCCGGGCGGAGCTGGAGGCGGAGGCGGGCGGGGACAGCGGCGAGCGCGGCCCGGCGGGCGCAGGGGGCGGGCCCGGCCCCCCCGCTCCGCTCGGTGCGCGGAACGGGGCAGGCGCGGCCAGAGCGCGTGCGCACCGAGCGCCCCGCCGCGCGCACTCGCGGGGGTGCGGACGGGCGGCGGGGGCGGCGGGGCGGGACGCGGGGAAGGGAGGAAGGAGGGAAGCGAGGAAGTGCTGGGCGGGTGGGCGCCAGGCAAGCCCGGGGGCCGGTCCCTCACACTGGGGCAGGGATGCTCCTGCTGGCAGCCCCCGCCTGTGCCCAGTGGAAGGGGCCGCCCTCCGCGCGGTCCCGGCGCTGCCCGGTAAGCGCTGTCCAGGTGCTTAGCGCACGTAAAGATCGCAGTTAACTTACTAACTGGGTCGGTTTGAGCGGAGACAGCGTTCAACGTCCGCGTTTGCAATTTTCTGAAGTGCTGGGTGACATTTCCCCATTGACTCCCTCTCTGTAGATATTCAAAACCCACCTGGACGCGTTGCTGTGTAACCTGGTCTCGGTGACCCTACCTTGGCAGGGTTGGACTAGATGATCTCCAGAGGTCCGTTCCAACCCTATCAATTCTGTGACAACAAAAAAAAAAAAAAAGAAAAAGGGGAAATTTCCAGCAGTTGTTCAGAAAGGAACGGGTTTGTTACCATACAGGAGCAGAGCTTGGAGCTTTTTCTCCTGTTTATGCTTGACGTAGAACACCACATTTTGGTAATTCCATTTTCAAACATATTTGGGATTTTCACCAGGATGCTGAGCTGTGGGGATGCTGTCAGTGGGGAGAGGTGCCTGGCTCTGCACGGACCCGGGCAGTCTGTGCCATCTGTGCACACGGAAGGGCCTCCAGGTGCGATACAGACCTTGTGGAAAAAGCAGACACAGCACAATATTATCATTTGTGTTTCATTGTGTATATAATGGTACATATATACCACTAAACAGGATTTTTCTTCTGACTTGACTGTCTTCTGTAAAGATCCTCATAATAAGGCCAGCCAGTAGCTGGAGAATTTTGGTGATTAATTGGATCAGTTATTCCCAGCCCACACCTTGTGAGCAGTACTAGTCATAGCCATGTGAATTTAAAAATTAGATGAGGGAGCAAAGTCCAACATGGCCAGCTGCACACAGCCTCTTTGGTGGTTTGCCTCTTCCTCAAAGCAAGCTGTGACATGCTAATACTGTGGTCCAGTTAATACCAACTCAATAATATAGTGAGCTGTAGTTACTGAAATGACTTACAATAACAATTGTCTATGTAGTTAATCCAGTTAGAGACAGATGTGGCAGTCCATTTCTAAATACAATAGGTTAGCTTCCATGTTTGAGCATGTGAGAAGCCTGAACTAGGTCAAAATTAAGTGCATTAACATTCAGTTATTTTTAATCAAGGTTTGGGTAATATGGCACAGGGCATTCCTTATTCTGGCAAAGACCATTAGGGGCCAACCTAACATTAGAGCAAGAAGCTGTTCCAGGTTGTAGCATCAGGAATGAAGTTATGTTGTGCTACATGGAACTGTCCCCTCAGGTCTGGCAGTTCTCCACAAGCACACTGGCTTACATTTCTACAGCACCATCAGGAGAAAAGCTGTAATCTTCCAGAAGTCTCCAGCACAAGCACCACATTCAGTAGTTTTTTTATGTAAGCCCCAAATAAAAATGCAGGACACAGTGCATTACACAGAAAGTGTTCACACCAAATCCCTAGCCAGCTAGAAGGAATGCTTTCACAGAATATTGTCACAACAGCTGGCTGTCACAAAAACAACTTGTCTTTTTAACAGTCACCTCAGAAGCTGGAGGCATTCTGTGTGTTGCAGTTAATAGAGACTCAAGAGAGCTAACAAAAAGCTTTTATTTTTTCCATTGCTGGCCCAACACAATCACAAACAGACATAATTTCTTATCAGATCAGGCTGTCAAGCTTACCTCTTAAAAGGATTCTGTGAAGAAATGCAACAAAAAGTTCAGCTCTGGGATGCACTACACTGAAGACTGACTTCATGAGGAAAAGAGAGGATTTGTTTGGTTTGTAGATTTTCATTATTGTGATAATTTTTCTGTAGTACTGGATTTCATGATAAGAGCTGACTTATAAACAATTTCACAGTAATGCAAAATGCAGTAGGTATGATTAGTAATCTAAGATGGGGAGTCAAATCCAAAGAAGGATTTAGGTGGATCTTAGGCATGATGTTATGCTTTCAAGAGATTAAATGTTTAATTGAAACACTGTTTAGATTCACAGCACTGCCTCATTCCTTTAAGGTGAGTTTGCACAGTTGTTTTTCAGGTAATATTGTGAACTAGATCAAAGAGCTAGTCCACCTTTAAGAAACTCAATTTTTTGTGTTTCACAAAGAGCAGGAATAATTACAGGATTTTACTGGTTTTATGTTGTTGATACATGGCATACATCAGAAAATGTCTTCCAGGAAACTACTGAGACTTTGTACATGTGCCCAGAACTCTGCCAGACCTGAATTGCTAGGAGTAAGCTCCTGTCTCTTTGTTGGCACTCAGAAGCGGGTGGATGAGTGCCGAAATCTCCTGGGGACTTCAAACCAGCCAAGAGGCACAGAGAGATGCTGTAGGTCTGTTGTGTGATAGCCTGATGGTTGATAGCCTCACCCAGCAAGTGGGAGGCCACATTCGCAGATTTGGTTCAGCCCAGGAGGATTGAAATCTTTCACCTATCAAGAAGACTGTAGGTTAAATGGGGAAAAGATGGATTTTTAAAGGAGATTGTGTTGCGATGCAGACAAGAATGTAGGCGCCATGGGGCTAGACAGACAGCGAAGAAGAAAAGGATGTGACTCTGTGGCAAAAGAAGGTCCAGCCCTGACACTGGTGGTTATATTCTTCACATAAAACTGTGGCTGCACCAAAAAAAAAAAGAGCAATACAAGGAGCAGATCTCCAAACCAAGAATTTTTCCCATCTCAGTGAGTGCTGTGGCTTTAGCCTCATGTGGGTTTTAGCAATACAATGTGCAACCTCTTGTGTTTTTAGGCTCTAAAACAATTTTTTTTTGTTGCTGTTATAATGCCTTAAACTCTGTTAAGCAGCCTGCTCTGATAGTCAATTATTTTGCCACAAACAGAGTTGCTGTGTGAGTTGAGAAATACCACTGTGCTGGGCTGAGGGAAATTGCCTAGCTGAATATGCAAAAACAGATCAGCAAATACAGTTTATAATAGAAGCTTATATGATGTCTGAAACTTTGAAAAAGTAGTGATAGTAGTGACAGAACCTTTTCTTACAAGTTAAGTTTGCTTGCAGGTCTCAAGGTTCAGAAACCTTTTCTCTACACAGAATTAGACATTATCAGTGTGCCAAAGAATATGGTGGGGTACCACTTTATACAAAACATATTCTTTCTGCTGAGAAGAAACAAACCCTGACCCTTGATCGCACCAGTTTGTTGATTTTTTGTATATGTGTTGGTAATATAAGGTTGGGACTATAAGGACTACTCTAGTTTTTAAAAGAGAAAAAAAGGGTCTGAAAATAGGAGTTTAGAAACAATTTTAAATAAGCGATGTATTGCCATAAACCTTCCTTTTGTTCCAAAGTTCATCCTATTGCAACATTGTTTGGTCTCTTTGGAAAGAAGACACTTTCAGATACATTCCATAGTTTTCTGGTCCCCATTTAACATCCCTTCTCCATCCATTTTCTCTATCTTGACAGAGTTGTTGATTTATCTGAATGTACCTATCTCTGAGCTCTCAATACAGTTTTAGTTGTTTGTAATCCTTCCAGTGTTTGCTTTGGGTTCTCCTTTATATGTACAGATCCTGATTAGACCCTAGTCCAATACCTCAACAGAAGTCACCCTTCATATACATAATTTCTTCTCAATTGGATGCTGTTATGTGGGACTTTCATTCCAGGCTGTCCTAGTCTGCAACGTGACTTTCAGCCTATTATTTACCTTCTACTGCAGTTATGTGAAGCTGTAAACTGGGACATCACTATTGACCTCCTCTGTAAAATCTTTTCAAAATGAAAGTAACATCAGAATTTTTTAGCAAGGAACCTACCAGCATCATGCATTTAACCCTACTGGTCAAGTGTTAAGAGATAAATTGCTTAACAAGTAGAAATAGTTACCGTCTTAGCGCTGGAGAATGTGCCATGGTGGTGATTGCAAAAAGAAGCTGACAAGCTGTGGGATGATGCATTCCTTACCTGACAGGCAGAGCTGGCAACAGTACAGCTAAGGTTGCCTAAGACGTCACATCACAGGCTCTTTTAATCTCAGGTAACTTTACCAAAGTAGTCATTTGAGCTCACATTTTGCATAATTGCACTCTCTCTCATGCTAAATATCTGAATTCCAGCAAGCCCATTTCAGACCCATTGAAAATGCAACTGTAGAAAACACATGGGTTTTGAAGTTAAATTTTTCTCTCTATTTTTAAGATCTCCAGCTTTTTCATGCTTTAGAGCCGGGACTTGATTTTTGGCAGGAGAACAGTTCCTTTCTGCCTTTGGCTGTCAAAATGAAGATCTAACGAGATTTGACTGAAACAGTCTCGGGTAGAGTCAGCAGCAACATGTGTGAGAACGTGCTGCTAAATCCAGTGTGCCCCGAGCAGGTCTGCAGCCATTAAACAGAGAGCTGTGCACTGACCTCTGTGCAGGCGTCCAGGGGTGAGAGTCGGGCAGCCTATTTAGATGCACTGCTTCAAAAATCAGGGCCCAACACTTGCTGAAAACCAGTGGCAGTGCAAAATGGAGGGGGGGGAGGGGGGGGAAAGCAGAGTTTTATTATTGTACAATTAGTATTTTTTACATTTGTGTACTTGCAAAGATGATTTGCTGGGTTACAATCCTTATCAAGTCATTATTAGCCTGTAAAAGTTACATTTACTTTAGTTATTACATGGCAGCATGAAAATCAAGGATTTGGCACAGTAACTGCAAGATACCAGGGAAACACCGCTCTTCATACGCCGTATCTTCAAACAAGCATGTGCCAACACAGAGCTGTTTGTCTGTCTGCCAAACTGAAACCTCCTCAAGTGCTGCAGGTAAGCCCAGAAGAACAACAGGCCATCCCTCAGTCATTCCTGGGATCAGAGTAATGCTCTCTTCCAATGAGCACCTAGCATCTGGTGTACATGGAAGACATATCCAGGAAGAAGAGAACTACATTCAAAACCATTAGTTTCAGTCCAAAGCCCTTTAATTCTATTGCTCACAAAACAGATCTGATTTATAAGAGTCCATTTTCCTAAAAGGTTAACAGTACTTCTAAACCAAATCCTTCTATGGATTACATAAGACCAGTACATCAGTTGTCTACCATTTAAGGAAATAAACCTGAAAAATAAATCAGAAAGGCTTTTAGGCTTATATATGACTGCAAACTATTCCCCATCCCTAGAAAAGTAGTGGCCGACCCAGCATGAATTCACTAGTTTAAAAAATTTTACCTCATCAGTGCAAAATCTTTCCATCAAATAGAGTTCCAAGAAGTAGAAGCCATGTGTTGAAAGCAGCAGGTTAAAAGCTGGCTTTGCTGTCAGTCCTGACACTGCATTGCCCCTGGGCAGGACACTGCACAGAAGTGCTTTATCTGAGTTTACAAATGAAATGGGAAACTGCCCAGGAAGAATTCAGTAACTGACTCATTATTTGGTGATACCCTTTGGATCTGACAGACAGTGAATCCGTCAAAAGTTGTTTCGTGAATTTTTTCTGAGAGAGCTGTAAATGAGGGATAAGTAACTTTGAAAAGGAAATTGGGCCATATGAATTCCCTGTGCAAAGGCAAAATACATGCAGAGAGTGTCTAAAGTTGGCTGATACGTGCCAGGCATCATTCTGGCATGTGGAAGTTGAAAAC